ACGGTAGTAGCAGGAACATTGATCCCTGTCGACGCATTTTTTACCATCATGATATTGCCCATTTGGGCAGGTGCAACCAGGGATACATTTCGTGGAGCATTTCATGTCGAGATTTTTGCAGATTTTTGGGCAGCCTGGTGCACATTCACTGTATACCATAGTTGCTGGACACGTTATTGCTGTGAACAACATTGTGAAAAGGAAAAAAAGATTTTTAACTGGACTTCAATGAACACGTGTTTTTTCTCTGCTTGCAATATTTCCTTCCTCCACCCCCTCGAAAGAATTCTTGGATTCCATTCTTGTGACGAAGTGCTAAAGAATCGTTTTTCCGACTCTTACTGGATATTGCTCAGTTTTAACTTTCCCGCGAACAAAACGATCAATCAGAGCCAAATCTAGCCAGAACTACGAAACCCTCATGGTCTAATCCCCGATGTCCAGGATGCGAGGGAATTTCTCTTAATTACTTGTAAGAAAAGACAGATCTAGGCAGAACTAAGAAAGAATCATGGTCTCAAATCCGCTGACCCGGACGCTCTAAGTTAGCTCTTACTTGTGAAAAAATGTTGTTTGGGAGCCTATACGGTAAGGGGGCGTTCGACCATGAAAACAATAGAGAGGTTAAGCATGACGTTAACGGCAGACGGCAAACGGCAAAGACAACTTCTGATTTTGAGTTCTTTTCTTCTAATCCGTAAAAGCTCACAAAAAATGGAATAACGTCTCCTACTATTCATTGCAAATACCAATAATTTCACTCTACTGTACACACAGCTGAAGGGAGACGGCAAAAGTTTCATTTTTGCCGTTTGCCGTTTGCCGTTTGCCGTAAACGTCATGCTTAACCTCTCTATTGACCAAAATCAGAGTGGAAAGCTATCTGGTGGGGGAGTAAAAGAGTGCGCGAAGAAATATATCAAACACGAGAGACAGTGTTTCATCGGGATATCCAAACACCGAGAAGAAAGTTCAAATTACGACGCGCAGTGGAGCATTTTTGACGAAATGCGAGGTGTTTGGATAGCCGATGAAACACTGTCTCGAGTGATTGATACAACTTCTCAATCGAAACAAAAGCTAAGGAATAAACGGAGAAGTAAAATCGTCAAAATCTGTGCTAATTAAGACCGGGCATCCAAACCTCCTTAACGGTTGTGATTTTCTTTGTTTTAACTTGATGAATTATTAATGACTTTGAGAAAAGATAATTACTTACGAAGCTTTCAGTATTTTTCTATTATAATTATGTTACTTACGGCAAAGGTTCGGTGCTCTCCAGCTTAGTACAACATTATTCAAGGCACACTGTCTACTGTATCGGGTGAGCATGGCACACACCATGTCGTCACGCTGGTCCAGGGGGCTGGCACAAACATCGTTCATGCAAAGTGTTTTCAAATAAGAACTATCAACGACGCTGCTGCAGGCAGAAAATACGTTCTCCTCTAGCTTCGAGCACATCTGATCCGCCTCTTTTAAATCATAGCATGGTCTTGGAGTCACTGGGCCAGACACGCAATTGTTATCTATGAACGAATTGGCGAACGCATATTCTTTTTCTTGGACCTGTCCGTCAGTATCCGTGAACTCGTCTTTGATATTATCATTGAAGGTTCCACAAAGACCCGCAGTTTTGGTTTTGAATTCTTCTGGGAGCTGAATATCTGCTGACCGCTCTCCATCCCATATAATATCCGCCTTGTCTTTTGTCGACACTACGATGTATTGCTTGGCGCCATCTGCTGGGAACTTAAAGAAAACAAGGAATGTGTTCTTCATCTCTGTTTATTTTCCATAGAGGGTCTTCAGGTGTGAGTACAAGTTTTTACTTCTGGTTTGCAGCCTCCACATTATCACATCACATACCCATCTCATCCTATGAGCTAACCTATCTTTCTAAAACCAACATGAAGAGCGAGGACTCTGAAAATGTCACTGGTTTGAAGTTCGAAGTAAAAAATTAACTATTTTATTAATTTTTTTTTTTTTTGCTTTGTAAGAGCACCATGCACAGCACAGCATTACTTTGCATTATATTAACTTGATCACATGCACCTGCGCCAGCACTCCGTGGCCGGATGTGCAACCTTTGCCATGTCATAAAGGAAATGTGAAGCGTACTCGTACTCAATTTTAAACTCGTATTCCAATCTGAGGGTCCGATATGTATTCTCTTTGGCAGGTCTACTTTACATGTGTATATAAATTTACTTATAACAATTTATCCGAACACAAGTATACAATGATAAAAAACAAAGAATATCTAAAATACAAAAATTAATGCAAATGATAATAATAATGAGGTTATTAAAAATGAATGAATAAGAAATAATAAAATGTCTGCAAAACGCGTCCAAGACCCCATTCGAGGCAAGAAATCATTGATCTAAAAATTACACAGAAAAGGTAATGATAATGAAAATAACAAAAGGTTATTAGAGCAGTATTCAACTGGGCATCGTAACTAAAACCAAAGTAATCACTATGGACAATCATAGGGAGGTAGAGAATCCATTGAACCAATCAAACCTCCAGACAAATACATGAAGCTGTCGCAAAGCACGGTGACAGTGAGTCACGATTTGTTTTGGTTTCACATTTGCTTGCCAAAGTGGCGCGAGTTTTTTAAGCCAATCACGAAGCGCGGTAATGCAAAACCAAAGAAAAAGCAAGTAACGTTCGACACTGAAGTGAAAACTGCTTTATATGACAGATTAATTTGAACAATTCAGCAAATTAAATTATTTGTTGGTGTTGTTATTTACGAAGTTGTTGTTATTGTGTTTCCCTGCAGCTATTTTTCCATAGTGTAAGTTACACGAGGTTTCGTCTTAATACTCTATGAACTAACTTAAACCATACATACCATGACTCTAATATACACTGCTCGGTCAGGCTGGTGTAGATATGGGAACTTATTAATTTCTGCACCGTCAACTTTCACCAGAAACTGCCCATTGCTTTCTCTTTTACCGAGTTCAACCTCAACCCCGTAAGCAATAACAGTAAGCGTCTTTTGGCAGGGTGTAAGAGGGTCGCATTGAGCATCATTGTTGACGATCACTTTCAGCTTGTCCGGTTCTGATGGGATTTTTACCATGACGTAATTGCATTTGCCGTTGAAGCTATACGTCAAATTGTCAAAGGTGTTGTAATGTGCGATTCCAAATATAGAGCACGTGCCATAACCTGGAAATCGATAAAGCAGCGTAGCACGTGTTATTAAAGTGACATTAACTTACTAAGGCCTTGTTCATACGACATAATGGTATATCGACAACATCGCTGATGTTGGTAAGGTGAACATCGACATAAAGACATAAGAAAAAGATCAGTTTTTATTTCCTTATGTTGTTATGTTCATGCTCTCATGTTGCTATTATGCCATTATGTCAGGATGTTCATACTGCAAACATAACGCCGAACATAACGTCCTCGGCGTTATGTTTATTTCGTCACGTCACAATGGCACTAGTGTGAACTAGCAATTTACAAAACTTCAAGTCAAGTAAGCTTTTAAAACATAGACTCACCCATCTACTTTTAAAGATGAAAAGTACGAGGCGGCAAACTAATTTCCCACAAATTTATCAAAGTTTGAACTGGGCACGAACAACTGGTTCGGACCAGAGAAAAAAAATGTACGTCTAATTGCTTTCTCTATAGACTTCATAGTGCTTTTAAACACAGTAAAAACAGAAACAACCTTTAAAAATAAAATAACCGGCTGCCTACCAGGCTATATTGCAGTAGTATGCTATCAGTTTTGTATACAAAAGAATGTATGGAAAAGAATGCATAGCTCAGAATTTAGCACATTCGATATGTAAATATGTTTCAGTTTACCTTCCTCAGAATAATTCCTCAAATACTTTGTGGGTGCATTTCAAGCTTTCGCTTTTTTAGTGGGAGCTACATTATAACAAAGCTTCAGGTGAGCATTTCAAAACTGGCGACTCCAGTATGGGCAATAAGTGTTTTACACTACCTGGCAACTTTCTGAATATACAAAGCGCAGGCTCATATTCAATTCTTGGGGTAAAAATAGATTCTAGTCACCAATGGATGATTTAAGTGGTACTGCAGTTAGACATGTTACATCTTTATTTCTGCGATTTTCTTTAACAGTCAAACTTACTGTTGATCGCATCTTGTGCACTACCAGCTGCATTACCGCCAGCACTACGTTCGTCAAAAACTTCGGGTGCCACTGTTGTACGAAAGACATAGAAATAGTTGAAGTAAAATAAAGTCGGCATTCGCACGTAAATGGCCCATCAGGATGGAGCTCATCTCAAGTTTCAGTAGCATGAAATCTACTTCCTCTCGAATGAGACTCTTATTCATCTCAGGGTTACCCCCGACATTTACTTCACCGGTATCCATTTAAACTGCTGGGTGGGCCCTTCCTTCTTGCTCTAGATATTACAAATACAAACTTTTTTTATTTTGTTTATGAGATATATATATTCCAAAATCTGATCACTCACTCAAAACGAAGATGACGTTTCTTACAGTAAGGACACTCGAACCATTAACACTTGAGTTTATAAGATCTGTATTTTTTTGGTACAGATTAACGCTAAATACTGTCTTTAATCAAATGCACCAAAAATTTTAAATGTTTACAGTGCAAGAAATATTGATTAATTTAATGATTGACTGGTTGGTTAGTTGGTGGGTGGGTGGGTGGATGGATGGATGGATGGATGGATGGATGGATGGATGGATGGATGGATGGATGGATGGATGGATGGATGGATTGAATGACTGGTGGTTTGGTTGGTTGGTTGCCTCCTGAAAGAGAGAGCACCCCTTAACAAGAATTTACTATGAACTTTATTCATTCCATAAGTACTTATTTATTTTCTTTAAGGTATACTCACAGTTGTATGCTGATTGGCAGTCTTCCAGGCTGATGTAGTTATTTTCGTTACCAAGGCAACCACCGTAATTGAACTGTAAACAGGTCTGGGTGGCTGGGCGGTAGTACCAGCGCTTTTCTGTCTGAATGTAAGTTTCTCCGTATAATTCGGGTTCCCATAGTTTGTAACAAATACCATCTGTTTTCATGGGCACTATAAGGAAATTATCAATTGGTTACTGAACGTTTTACTCTTTTTGAAATGTTTAATCTAATGCGTTCAAGGAGTTACGTCGTAGATTAGAAAGTTTAGCCCAATTTTTTTTATTTATTTTGTCCTTTGTAATCCGTGTTCATCTTCTCCATCCTTAAACATTCTTGATCCTTTAAGGTTTATTCTTTTCCCATTGGTGCTTTTCAGGTTTCCTTCAATTCAAAGGTAACTTTGTACGTGGCCAAAATAACTGAAAATTCCGAGACCGAGCTCCGTTAATTAATTAAACACCACCAACTTACCACAATTAGAGAAACAGTCTCTTTTAGTCACAGTGGAATTGAAATCGTCACAACTCTTCTGGAGTTGATCCAGGAATCTGAAACAAGCATCTGTAGAGGCTCCATAGCCTCGTTTACGCAGAATACTGCCAAGGGCTTGTTGAAGAAAAACTTTGTTTATTCCTTGATCAGGTTTAGGTACAGGTGCTGTTATTGTCAGCGGTGACCTTTCCTCCACTGTAAAAGAAATTATCAATCATTTTGGTGAGCAAGGTGTATCTCACCCTGCAAACTCAAGGTAACAGGACTGGAGGATAGAAAAGGACAGGTCAAAGGTTGTAATACATGTAGATGATTCCGAGTTCTCTCGGTTTAAAAATGAAGGCAAGTGTAAAACGTTTATATGAAAGCTAGCGAGCTATACGAAAGCTACTGAGCTTCCAGACCAGAGTAGATTTTGAATGATAGCTGTTCATCTCTCATGTTCCGGAATTTTTGGTCGAAAGGATTGTCTTGTTTCTTCATTGCACATGTCCAAAACCAAACTACTGCTTAAATAGTCTTGAGCCTTATTTTTTTTTTTTAAGTCACTCGAATCAGTTCCACTTTGCTCAACTTGGATGCAAGGCAATTTCCGGTAGTTTCCTGATTTTTGCATCTATTTGAGATTATCTTATATTACAAATGAGAAATGTTAATCGTGAAAAGAGCTTTTCCTAAACCCAATTTCCGGTCATTTTTGGTAAATGGTATCCCCAGACAACATGGATGTCAGGCAGTTTCGGGCAATTTTGTAAGTTCTGATTTCTTTCTAGATGCTTCGTATATACCTCAACATCAAATTGTAGCACGATTGAGAAAAGTTAACCGTGAAAAGACCTATTCCCATCCACAATTTCCGGATATTTTTGGTGAATGGTGCACATCCTGAGTCTTGCCCAAACGAAAACAGTCCTTGGATCGAGGTAGATAAATGCACGTTACTTTACTTGCTTTAATTATTTACTCAATGATTTTAAATGCTTTAATGATACTGA